TTATGCAAAGCAGCCTGGAAGAACAAGAAGACGTCATTCTCCTGAAACAGCAACGTACATCAGCATGGAGAGTCGGTATGATCAAAGGATTCCAAATTGGCAAAATATTTATTTCTTTTTGATATTTGGTTATATTGAGGACCTGCTTGTTAGGCGCAGAGATGAAACTCTGAATTGATTTCCTAAATGTATTCAGCACAGTGATGCCTCAATTTAGTTGTTTACTGACAGATATGACGTTTAGGAAAATAGTCTTCTCACTCTCATTTTAAGGAGGCTGACTCATTGAAAACAACTTGCACACACCCAGACACCAAACTATCTTAAGCATTTCATGGATCTACTCTAAAATTCACAGTTGTCTACTTTAATGTGGAGTTTTCCATTTTCACCTACTGCAACCTCAAGCACTCTAATGTCAGAGTCAAGAGATATGTTTTAAAAAAAAGCTGAAAATGCAGTGACAGTTCACGTTGGGAAAGTTTGCAGTTGCATATTTTCTCTAGAAGAAAAAGTTCAACTGAATGACAATCGGCAAAATTTGATTTGTTTTCTTACTTTGAAATGAGTGCAAGAATTTGTTTTAAAATCATAACATTTTTCAATCTGACAATGTCCTTTTTAAGGATCTTAACACATGGGCAATAATAAGATCCTGGTTAAGCGGAATCAGTTCACTCTCAAAGAAAACCTTCCTGAAAAAAGCACATGTATCGCATTCCCTTTTCCAAAAGTTAGATCAAATCTGGGATGTAGTCATTGGTATCACTGCAGCCACACATGGTCAGCTCATGTGGGAGTAAAGCCCTTTTTGTCGGCACTATAACATATACTTTTCTTGGATAAAGTGGATTTAAGTGCGTCGACTGAGCCGAACGTCATCCGTGTACCCTCCTGTGTCCTGATATGACAGCAGCCATGGCGACAGCTCCTCAGTCTGGTCTACGCTGCTTCCTGTTCCACAGGATCCCTCGTCAGTGTGTGTGTGTATGTGTGAGTTAGAGAGGCAAGAGTGGAAAGGCTTCCCCACATAAAGAGGTCTTTTCATCCCCAGGGCCGCAGCCTGCCCGCCGGCCCCTGGAGAAGTTTGTAGAGGATAAATAAACCTCTTCAGACGGACAGAAAAGATGGAGTCTGTATGCGGCGCACTAACGTACGGCGCGCCGCAGTATCTCAAAGAGAGACTTTATATTATTCTGAAGGGCTATTTGTTATGATATTGAGCCGAGAGGGTAAGAAGGGCCAGGAGGGCAGGGGCCTCTTGATTTATGGAGTGACCGCCTAGCCTGTACTACACACACCCTTACACACACACACACACACACACACACACTTTTTCTCTTTTGCGATCGCAGATACTTACATACACACACATGTACATATCACAGTTACATACACACTCAAAGAGCACATATCACACATTGCTTCCAGCTGGCCCCAGGTTCCGGTGAGAGTGCTCCTACCCCCATCACACACACACACACACACACACACACACACACACACACACACACACACACACACACACACACACACACACACACACACACACACCAGGCAGCTGATAGCTCACACATGCCACACCGGACGATAAACCAGCGGGAATGTCTCGGTGTTGATATCTGGCCGGACTGCACCAAAATGCTGCAGCTGAGCTTTCATTGATGTGCTTTTTCAGAATGACTTTAGGTTGGATTTATTCATGAATTTGATATAAAACATGTCATAAAGTAGTTAACGAAGAATATAAACACAAGGATTTGAAAGGGCAAAACCTTTGAATTCATGTTTTTAATCAAACCAAATGTAATGATTATTTTTTATCATTGTCATGTAAGGCCATTATTGGGCATGTTTTCAAGTAATATCAGACATCATGCAGATTCATATCCTTCTCTGACTTCTGAATAGTTGATTTTTGATTTATTTGGGAGTCTGCCTTTAAACTTTTTCCTGTGATGTCTAAATGTTTTTATCAGTGTGTTTCCATTAAATAAGTGTACAATTTTGGCTTCGAAACAAACAAAAGTTAAGACCATGAACAGTTGTAGTAGTAAAAAATGTTTGTTTTCAACTTGGTACCATCTTTTTTGAAAAAACACTGTATAGCCAAGGCGCTTACCACTTGGCAGCCAGTACCAAGTTAAACCCGCTTGCTAGTAAAACTTTTAAAGTAATAATTAACTTTTAATGTAAATATTCCCAATAACTTATCAAACTTTGTTTAGCAGGTTGTTATCTAAACACTATAGAATGCAAAAAATGTTTATAATTTACTGAGTTCTTTCAAGGATTTGTGAAACACTTTCATCAAAATATGGACCTTTTTTGTCTTTCCAGGACTCTGGTTCATTAAGCTTCAATGTCAGATTCACAGAACCACAAAAGACAAATCGGCCCATTTTGATTTCAGGTGACCAAGTGACTGAACATTCATTCACTTCCACATGTTCCCACCTTAAAGCTGCTCAACAACTGAGTTTTCCACAGCTGGACACACAGCGACAGGATTTTCTTTTCAGGAATTTAAAGTGCTCACTTACTAACTAGGAATCCATCTAGTTGCATATTTCCCAGTGACACACTTGCATGACTACATTTCAAAGAGCTGTCTCCTGTCACTGTGATCAAACCTGTGACCGTACATTACAGTACGTTCACTTGAAAGGTAGAGCGAGGCAGCATCAGTCTCCACTAAAGCTCAGCGGCTGGTAGATCTGTCCTGAAAGATCGTGCTGTGGCACAAAGGGAAGTCTTTCAAACCAGAACCACTTTTATTCAAAGCAGCTTTTCCCCCCACATTTAAATCTGCATTTCAAAGTGCAGGATCTGAAGCAGAGGCAGATATTTAGTCATTGCTGGTGACTGAAAAAGGGCGCTTTGCTCTTTGCTCGTTTACCTGAGAAATTGAGTTTTTAATGCATGAGAAATATATCTTTGTTTTGTTGTGTTATTGCATTTGTTTCGCCTCTGGCAGAGTAAACACACAAGCAGTGAACAAACGTTCCCCCTATCTATTTTCCCAGGATCAAAGCCACAGCATTGCCTAGCCTTGCTATGAACAAACCCTTATTAAATAAATTGTTTTTTATAACCCACATTTTTCTCCAAAGAGACCACAGTATGCTTTGAATAAATATAGAGGATAGTTCCAAATAACAAACCTGACACTATCTGAATGGTTCGACACAATTAGACGTAAGTGAGAAAATATGTTCTTTTAATTTGGGTGAACTAGCCCTTTAAGCAGTGTGTAATACAAATAAATAGTTTTCGTCGCTGCCAGAGGAGGTTGTGCTCGAATGCTCGTGCTCCATAAAGCCGAAGTGAGCTATGAGTGTCTGGAGATTATTATATCTACCCCATAAAGCTCGATTTCCCATGTTTAAGACCTGCAGATATTCTTAGCCCCATTTTCTCCTTTTCTTTCACAGAGGTCATAAGTTATACACGAAAGGTAGAGAGCCATTCATGCTGAGATAGAATTTATGCTCTGTGCACCGTCGCCTCTGTGTTTTTCTTCCCGTGAATGGGCCTTTCTGCTCTCAGAAAGAGGAGTTGTAAATATAGTTGTCAAAGCCAGAGGCCACGCAGAGAACTGCACAGCCACGTTAAGCACATTATGGACTTAACATCTCCAGGATTTTTAATGGGTGCAATAAAAGAGAGAAAACAATTCACAACTCTCTATTCAGTTTGTTTTATTGAAGACCCGCAGTACAAAGAAGAACTTCACTGTAGTTTGATTTTGGACGACTGATGATATACAGACATGTTTCAAAGGAGCGATACCTGCTGGTTCTCCCACATAAACGTCACGTCTGTCCGCCTGTACAGTCCGCATCAGAATCTGAAAGAGCCCATTTATTATTTAAATCTCCTACTATGTATTCCTCGAGAAGATTGTATCGTCTGATTCTAACCTTGCCTTTCAACCCCACCTAACATCAGTTCGAGGCTGTCTGTGAGAGCACTGCGTTCACGTTCGCTGCTTGTGAGCAAGGCCGCTGGTCAACAGTGGGTGTATTTGCCGTCATAAATCAAGCTCTTACCACACCTCATCCACTCTCTTTCCCATGGGCGAGTGTGTTGTGTACTCTGTTGCCCGAGCAGCTCATTGAAAGCCTTCACAGCGTGTGTCTGTGCTACATGCTAGCATATGTGGAGGTATGCATGCCTCTGTGTGCTTATGAGTGTCCTTGTGTTTGTGGCGTTTGGCATGAATGGTTGCCTGAGCGACTAGAGTAGTTACTTTTCTATCTGTATAATTGACTTCTGGATGAGAAGACACCTCTTACATGAGGAGACACAAGGGGAGCCACTGTTTATTTACCCAGACGTTCCCTCCATGTCTCCCCCGTCCTCAGCGGAGACCGGCATCCTTAGCGAAGCCAGTAAACATGTTGATTTTTCCCTGGCTCAAACCAAGCTGGCACATGGAGCTGGTGGAGTAAATGAGCTGGTGTGTGACAGCAAAGGTTGGAGAGGAGGAGGGAGGGGGGCGTTCATTTCCACACAGCCCAGATCTGTCTCCATCTTCGTGCTGGAATAAAAAGTTGCAATTTTCTGACTACCAGAGGCAGATTAGCTGATAGTACGCCAGCGGGTCTGCGGTTATTTCTGCTTGACTGCCTCATTGTTTCAGAACGAACGGGGGTCTTTTTCTTATACTGAAAAAACATGTGAATAATGTTGCCTCTAAATAACGCTGTTTATTCAAAATCCTAACCCCTTATTTACTAGATTTCTACAAATATACCTGTGCTGAGAAAAGTGTTTTGATTGTTTGATTCCTTATTTAGCCTATAACAAGTCCACATATTTCCAAAAATGTAAGCTTTTATCACATAAAGTTTTTCAGGTTACATTTTAAAACAAATCACAAGAATTAACTTAAAAATCTTAAGACTTAAAAAAGACATAAAATCTATATGAAGAATATTGGTGTGTGGAATACAAAGCATCTGTCTGACCCCACTGTGTCTTCTTCTTGTTTGCAGACTCTGGGTCCAGTGAGTCAGCGTTCCTGGAGGACCATGTCCTGGGCATGGGGGAAAACCTGGAGATACCATGTGACCTGGAGGACCACTCCGAGCCCGTCGTCTGGTTCAAAGACGGCGCCGGGCTGGTTCCTGGCAACCGGACGCGGCTGGGCCAGAGGTTGTTGCGCATCATCAACGTGTCGTACGAGGACTCGGGCGTTTATTCGTGTCGGCTCGCACAAAGCAACACGCTGCTCAGCAACTACACCGTCAGGGTGACAGGTGAATGGAATATTTGCTCATGAGATCATTTAATGGTTTATCAGAAACAATACTTGCTTTATTCTTAAGACAAAAAATGTCATCCTGTGATGTCTAAATGCCAATTCCAAGAGTTTTTACATAAACAATTGTCCTTTTGTGGCATGGAAACAGTCTAATGTAAAGATAAGGAACAAAGTTTTTGACTTCACTGTACCATCCTTTTGAAAACCACTGCTGGGAGCAACCCGATGGCCGCGTTTGACCTTATTACGGGCCTCTAGAAGTCCTAATAAATACGATTTAACTAAAGATATAGACATTATCTCCATGCAATGAGGAACAAGATGTAAGATCTGCAAATCACATGTTTAGAAATATGCCTGTTAAATAAGACATAACGCCAAGGACATACACAGATACTCGAGTCAGTAGCAGGGCTCCAATAGAAACAGGCACTTTGGCTGCACCCTGGATCTCTCAGAAAACCGACCTGCCCCAGGTTTTTCTGCCCGTCTGACAGACAGCTAAGAATCAAAGTATTTCCTATCAATAAACACAGTGGAACAATTACAGCAGTGATGTCTAGACATGACAGCTTTTTATACTGACTCGAAGAAAGATGGTGAAAACTTTGCTCAAGAGGAAAGTTCGATTATTTTCTCCTCCTTCTCGGTTTCAACTCCCCGTTAGCTGTCTGCCAACCTGCCAACCTGCACACACACACACACACACACACACACACACACACACACACACACACACACACACACACACACACACACACACACACACACACACACACACACAGCATCGTACTGGCACAGCTTTGCACCAGCCAACACTAAGCCAAGTTTTACACAGATTCCCCCTCCTGATGCACAGTCAAAGGTGAAATTCATTATAGGGTGCGAGGATGAGTGACGTCTTAAACAAGTGTGTGATGCAAAAAGAGTTTGTGTAGGAGAGGGGTGTGGGGGTCAAAAAGGAGCGAGCAGTAGCTTGAAAGTCGGGCGTTTCATTCCCGTAAAACTCATGGACACCAGCTGAGCCTGTTATTGACAACTAATTAGAAAGCAATTAGCTCGAAACATTTCATTATTGAAAACAGATGGGGTGGCAAGAAATGAGAGAGTTCGCTCCCCATCAACACACACACACACACACACACACACACACACACACACACACACACACACACACACACACACACACACACACACACACACACACACACACACACACACACACAGGTGCATGTGTTTGGCTGCAAGTTTAGGAGAAAATTGCCTTTTCCAGGACTGATCAGAGGTGGACAGCTTCTTCTTCTTCTCTTCCTGGACACATGCAAACACACTCCCAGTCCCAACACCACTGACTTATAAAGGAAGATACCCCAACCTTTCCAAGTAATGTTCAGCTCATAAATCAGATTTTTCTTTTTCTTTAAACAAGAGCAAAAACAAATCTCTCATTGAGGTGAGGTGAGATAACTCGATGTGCTTCCAGCTTAGCATGTTTCAGGAGAAAAACCACAGAGCAAGTGAATATCATTTTAATATTCAGTACTTGTAAGACTCAGACTTTAAACAGTAGTCTGTGTTGGCAATATCCTGTTCTCTTGCCCTACTTCAAACACAGAGCCTCGGCTTCATCTAAAATACACATGGACTGTTGTGTTTTCCCTCAAATATTTAAGTAAGGTGTCAGATATTTAGAAACGGTATCAGATGTAACACATGGACGGCTTCCAGGCAGCGCATATATGCAAGCTCATTGTTCTCAAAAACAAACACACACGGTACACATGTTGGAAGAAAGAGGGCTGTATTGTGAGGGACTGAAATATGTTTTATTTGTATTTCATATGTAAAATGTAGTGTATTAAAATGAGTAACTTTGTTTAGAGGTTTTGTAGGGACCTAATAGCTTTGTTAAATATGTTGTTTACACATGGGTGTAGATTAGCTTCAGCCAAAGCAAATATCCTAGTGTGCTAATATAATTAGTTGTAGATGTCTAAGTTCCTGAACTGTTCACTTTAGTGGAGTTGTTATAATTCACATTTTTAGTGCGTTACTCTTTATTTGTACAATCAAGTTTATATACTTCAAGCTAATATTCTAACTTTGGCTGTGTTTAGTGCTAATTAGCAACTATTAGCATGCCAACACGCTAAACAACAGCCTCCTGTAGCTGCTCGCATGTCTGAGTGTTCAGATTTCAATAATATCATAAATCACTCATCTATTAGCTCTATTTTGAGAGCCAGAATACTTTTTGGTTTGTTTTGCAATAATGAAGCTCACCCAGACTGTAATGTGAAGTCTAACTAGCTTCTTCTGCTGAGACTGGAGTGTTGAATTGAGGTGTCAAATAATATAAACTAAAAGCTGCTAGTCAGGCATTTCAGGAGCAGCTTAAGCTAACGGGGTTGTCGAGGTAGCAGCTGGCTCTCATTAACCAGACCCGTGGAGCTGAACCAGAAAACTTGAGGTCAGATTGAAAAATAATTACAACACAGCCGTGAAGATTTGTGAATCTGTTTCGTATCTGCGTCTGGAGAATAATTAGAGGTCATCGGACACGCTTACTGTTAGCAAGAGTTAGCCCCAGAGTGTGTCGCAAAGACAGAAAGAGTTGTTTTTGTATGTGCGTCTGCACACGTGAACACACACCAGTGTGTTTCATTTCTAGCGTCTGTGGAAATATTTTGTTTGTAATCTCTGAGCGAGTCGCCACGCTGCAGAGAACTGTAGACTCATTCATGAGTTTCTCATTGAGCAGGTCAGTTTTAAAATGCATTCATGCGTATGTGTGTGTATTAACTTGTGGTGAACCCACACTCTTTAATCTCCACTGGGCATTTAACAGGCACACAATTCCTGCTTTGTTTTTCCCCTCGCTATTTTCCTCTCGCAATGGGCTACAAGCTTTCCAGATGTACTTTGTGTGTTATCTGATGGCTGACATAGTTCAACTAGTCTGAAGAATGAGAAACTTGTCCAGATGATTTGGTACAGATCCAAAATAAGATTTGTTCAACTTTCTTTTTTGAAAATGAAATATTAAATCGGCTCTATTTCTCTTTCATTTTAAGATTCACTCTCATCTGGTGATGATGAAGACTATGACGAAGACCCAGAAGATACAGGTAATGAAAATGGTGAATTCTTAATTTCATTTATTTATTTTTTTTAAATACATCCTTTTAGTGAAATTGCCATTCAGTGTGAGCAGCATGGCACTAATTTGAAACTAAAGATATTTTAGGACTCATATGCTTATGATAAACGACATTGTATAGAATTAAAAAGCCAATAACCCTCAAAACAAAATAACTCAAAGTAGCAACAACTAAAAATGGGAAGAACTAATATCTGTATAAATCTTCATATTATTTTCTACCAAACTTTTTTCTACCAAATCATCAAACTAATGTTCCATATTTGTAACTACCTATAATGAGACCTCAATATGAGCTGGTGTTTTTTAATACCTTTAATACCTTACCCTTTTTAATTGTGATCTGGTGATTTATAAATATTTAGCTTTTTTATTGACTGCTATGCTGTTTTTCGAAAAACATGTCATTGAAATGTAAAAAAAATAAACTTACAGTCCTTCTACATTTCTGAAAGCAGAACAAAGCATCCTCCAGTATTTCTGTCCTGTAGCTACAGTATTCTTAGGACTTAAACATTGAGCATGAATGTGTTTTTAATGTGCAGAATACAACCTGAGTTGCATTAAGGCAGCACAACTATGTCGTTAAGCCTAATGAGCAGCACCTGGTGCCACACACAGCTGAGTGACCCGGAGCTGTGAGCTGCTGTGAGGGTCAGAGTGAGGGGAGTTACACATTATCATACAACTTTATTATTATTTAGACATTATTATACAACTTTATGGGAACATTAAGAAGTATAGCTTTTAAATAAAGAATTATTGTATCCTTATATGGGCTTTATTAATGTTAAATATGTGGTTAAATCACTAAACTAATCATAATCAAACCACAGTTAAAATTACAGATTGCGTTAGTTTTTTATGTAGACAAAAGTTACTTAGCAGTACAAACATCAAATATAAAACAAGTTAAAAAAAGCAATGGCAACCAGCATGACTTGAAAAAGGACGCCAATGTACTTATTGTATACTGAACTATAATTTGATTTAAAAGAATAAATAACTGAAGTGTTCCTAATGGATAGTTTTCATGTTTGAAAGACGTTTATTAACACAAAACCTAAAACCTCACAAACGTTCACAAACTCCTTATCAAGTCTCTATATCTTTAAATTAAGGATTATTGTGTGGCAAATCCTATTTATTAACAAACCTTATTACATGATGAATTGGTTGAAAAGTGCAGCCGAGTGTTTGCTGTAGTTCCACAGTCCTCTTGTGTGTTTATGTCGTCCACAGTGAATCTGCATTATAGAGTTTCACTTGTCACCGTGATAAAAGATGTTGTCTGTAGGAGCAAAATAAATTGCTTAGAAGGGAGCTTTTATTGGCAATTACGTGACAATCATTGGATTTATGCAACTGATTAGATTTATATGAGTGTGATCTGGGTTTTTATATCTGTAATTGGAATTATATGGCTCTCATAACTGCTCACTGTGCTCGTATTAAAGCCTCTCCCCAGAGCACTATACCGAAAGGCACTATCGCACAGATCAAAAGCTGGTGTTTCTGCTGCAGTTTAACACTCACTGTTGTGATGTGAGCTGTTTTGGCATTCGGAGACGTGCTGAGTTCAGGTGCAGGTGAACAAAGAACAATGAGCGATGGCTTCTTCTGGCTGCGCCCGCTTGACACACTCTGTTCTGTCAGCTAGCATGACTCCATAGAGACTTAAAGCGTATCCGCCCTTCAGAGGGCTCTCGACCAGCCAGACGCATCACTGTGCTGCCTTTGTTGTGGCATATGGAGGGAGACAGAGGAAGGTGAGCGGAGAGACAGTCAGACACAGACGAGGAAAAGAAAGTAATGAAAGAAAGGATAAGTGTGAGACAATAGAGCCTGACACATCATCTCTAAAACCTGCAGAAAATGTTTATACCGTTAAAAATTAACTTTACTCTCACTGTTTGCATTAGACCAGTCCACATAGTGACAGTGGACTGCAAGTCAGTAAAAAAACACCCAAAACCATGCAGGCGGTATCCGATAGTCAATCATATCTTGAACTGAATCCCAGTCCAACTTAACTGCTCGTCAAAATTGGTGCCAGAGGCAAAATGTGGAACTGTTTTGGTGACGGTGCGACAGGTGAACGCCCAAGCGAAATCAAAGCCTCTTTGTAAACGTTTCGACCAAACCAAGTGTTGTCACACTCAACTCAAAATAAAACAGACACAGTGGCTCACACTTTGATTATTAAACAGCTCAAAAGCCGCCGGGGCGTCATTAGTGTTTCACCCAACCTATTGTCATCCAACTACAATCATTAAAAGCTGTCAAAGTATCGACTGGCGAGAGAAAAAAGCAGTTTTAGTTTCTAGCAAATGATGGGACAACTGCACATTATAACCTAGATGAAGGACTGTTCTATTGGGCTGCATTAGGTTTAGCTACATGTAGTTGTACCGTATAAAATTGCAAGAGCAGCTGGAAAACTCTTGTATTAATCCCCAATCTCTCTCTCCTTATTTCTGGACAAACTAAATATAATAAAATGGGCAAAAATATGATGTATAAGTAATCACCTTTTATTATAATCCTCTTATTTTACGACTGTAAAAGTAGGCTTTAAAAGTATTTGGTAGCACTCAATTTAATGAACATAGGAATGTCTGTTAATATTCTTTGTCTTGGCTCACTTTCAACATTTAATCCCTGCATTTGCTCACGTTGGATATTGGAGAATTAGACGTGTAATCTTTATATTCATACAGCATTGCCGTTTTCTATAAAGAGATGCAAGGAGATTATAGAAGAAAGCAGCAGAATAAGCTTTAGAGTTACAATGCAAAACGCTTCCCGTTGCTGTACTGAAAGTCGCTGTGGACAAGCTTTTGCACCTGCAATGTAAAACCTGATTGTGTTTTAATGCGCAGCTTCAATTCATGGTGAAAGCCTGAAGTGTTTTCTAAATGGGCCGAAGTGGCAGCAATGGCAGGGCTTACTGCAGACATCCTGAATGCCGGTAAATAGCCTCAGACTGCCAGACTTAATCTCTGCATGTAAGTCTACCTCATGACATACAAGGCTCCGATTTCCTAGCCAAAAGGAGAGGGATTAGCCCAGAAACGTTAAACCCCTATCGCTGCTTAATGTGCGCTAAGCCACCGCTAATTAGCCGGCTATAGCAGGAAGGATCCATGTGACGAAACGCACAGCCAGACGGAGAGTCCCTGTCGGTGAGCGGAAGAACCTCCACATCCACATGCAGAGAGGACGTTAATAAAGATGTTGGCATGGTGAAAGAGTCAGGCTATTAATGAGGAAGTTGGGATGGAAAACATTCGCAGATTGACAGCGAGACAGGGGGAAAATTGCAGGGTGAAAGAAGAGAAAAGACGGCAATAAGGAAGAGAAGATTTGAGAAGTTGAGTCACTGTAGCTGCCAGATGAAATGATGCTGCTGGCCACAGCTGACTGTCCTCAAAGCAGAGACAAACAGATAGAAAGAAAGACAAGAAAGCTGCTGCAGTCATGAGCTCATTCTCCACCATCCTCCAGAAGTCACTCAGCTCTCTCCCCCGATGGTCTTCTGGCAAAAAGCAGAGAAGGGAGGATAGATGCCTGCCAAGTAGACAAAGTTAATTCCTTTGCACAAATCAGATTATCGGCCAATTTGACACTAGAATTGTCTTTAATTTTTCAGAACAATAGCAGCCATGTCTGTGGTGTGTGTATATTTTCTATTTAGGTAAAGGCAAGGTTTAGCAGGACAAACTGTGAAGTTTTAACCAAACTGTGACGTTGATATTGGCTGCAGAAATCACACAAATAAGGTCAAAGTTTGTGCAAGTTATGCCATCTTAAAGTGTGTAAATCATTACTGATTATGACATCACCAAGCAAGGAAACTCCCATGAAATCTACTTTGGTAACGGCCATTTTAACATACAAATACAAATATTTAGTTTTAAAGTGCTTGAACAAATCCTAAGTCACCATTCGGTCCAGGTTTTAAGACCAAATGTAGAGCTGTCAGATGAGCAAATAAAAGCACATATGAGTTATTAAAGTGAGTATCTTTCGCAGTGTGAAAAGCAGGGTACAAACACTCCTGCCTGTGTGTGTGTGAAGTGAAAGGGCAGCGTGTGTGTGTCGGGGGGGAGGAATGTTAACAGAGCCTAATCTGTGCTGTGCTCCTGAGCTATGCAGCCTCCTTGTTTACCCTGGCAGGAGAGCAGAGAGCCGGACGCCGGGCCACACTACGCTGCTCCTAGCCGCCATTCCTCCAGCTCTGTTTGCCTTGGGTCCCTGCAGGCCCTCGGGGGCAGCAGGCCTTCAAAGAGCCCCAGTGTAATCTGTAATGAAATCTGCCCGTGTGCTCGCAGGCGTCAGTGAGGGCAAATTATACAATTACACAATTAGACCCCCAACCCCCACCTCTCCTCCTCCTCCTACTTTTCCCTGGATCGGTGTCTGAGCGCTGAAGGGACCTTGTGCCGTGGCGATCCGCTCCGCAGTGTGTCCCGCTCCAGCTAATTGCTGCTGCACTGGAGTTGGGCTGATAGAAAGCCAAAGACACGCTCCTCCGACCCGAAACACAGAACCAGGAGTCAGAGGGAGAGTGATAGAGAGCTGCAGGGGTCGTGTGTGTGATCACTTGTAACTGCAAAGCTTAGTCCAAAAACAAAGACAATGAACTCTATTGTGTTAACAAAACTCTAAGTGCTCACAGCTTATTCCCTGTAATGTCCCCTCAAGTTGTTATTTCAATAATACAAAGTGTTTAGAATCAGCATCTGGATCTGCATTAGTGTACACAAAGTGATAGACAATAACAGGATGAATATGCCAGATTGTAATGCAATAGTTAAAAAAAAACTGAAATCCCTATCTTGCAAGAAGAAAACACTTTAGAAATATTTCATGATCCCCACCAAAGAGTAGCAATCTCTGGTTTGGCCAGTGGCCTAGCTTCTCATCAAATTCCATTTCAATGTGTTACAATTTTGAGATAACCTGCTCAAAAAACAG